TACGCTCCCGAAGTGGTATGCACGTACTGCTATAGGTCATTATGTAAAAATAATGACAAACAACCCGGTAGTAAATACCAAATACCTACTATTTGGTTACCCCGTACAGAGCATTCTCCGGAATTGTGTTACTTTTGTCTGAACGAAACAAGGAGCTTTGGTTATAAATATGAACACCGCGAAAAAATCGCCTACGTTGAAGTTGAATCTGTTATCCCGTTGAAGTTGAATCTGTAAACCCAGTTGAAAAAGAAGCTTGGACATCTGCTGTTAATGTCTTTGAAAACTTTCTTGGTAACAATCGAGCTGAAAATTATATAGAAATTGTGCAAAAAATGATCTATGGCAATATGGGAGTATTAATGTCATTAAAAATTCATTTTTTGCATAATCATATAGATTTTTTCCAAAATAATATGGGTGATTACAGTGATGAACATGGAGAAAGATTCCACCAAGACATAGCTTTAATCGAAACTAGATTTAAAGGTAAAAATTTGGTGCACATGCTCGGTGAATACTGTTGGTCACTTTGTAGTGAAACGGCAACAAATTCACTAAAAAGAAAAAATAAAAGGCCAAAATTTGAAAAATAATTGAGTTGTATCAAATATTTTTATTAAACTAAATAATATCAGACAGTTTGTTTAATTATATTCAGCGTTAAAACAATTTATATGGTAGAATTGGTTTTTTTTACTTTTGAGTATTAAAATTTTATGGATGTAATGATAAAGTAGTTACAGCCTTATGATTATGTAAGAGTTCTTTAAAATGCCCTTTAAGAACATTTGTAAGCTTGAATAAAAAAAAATAACATTAATATTTAGTATGGAAACTTTCTACGAATTATCTTTAAATTTTGTGTTTCAAAACCAAATAAAAAAAAAATTTGACGTGTACAAAAAAATCGCCGATACACGAGTCTTTTTTTTTATCGTCTTCTATCCGATTTTTCAAGTTTCATCGATGCGGGCAATTTTGTGTTGTACGGTGTTATTAATATACATTTTACCAAAATTTCATTTCGAAAAAATACTTCATTTTTTAAAATTGATGTTATTTATTGACAGAATATGCTTTATTGTAGCGGATTAAAAAAAAAACGAAAAAACCGTTTTTTTCTGTTTTTTTATATTTTTTTTTCACATCTAAAAAAACGCTTTTTACATCTCTAGATTTGTCCGTATGCTTAAAATGGCCGTGTTGTTAAATTGAATTTTAAATTTTATTACATGAAATATATTCTAAGTACTTGTGGCAAAAGGTAAGTTTAATTTTAATTCTATTTTTTGGTATTTTATAAAATGTTATATTTTTCTTTGTTTGATATCACCCAAGTTTGCAAACATTACAGTCTGCAATAAAACTTGCATCCAACAAAAATTGCTGCAAGAAAAATTGCAATTGCAATTGTAATACGGGCGTAACACAAAATATATTTATTATAATATATTTATTATAATAGTTAAGGCGTATTCATGCTCACTTAAAATAAGAATAAGAAATAAGGAATAAGAAAAAAGAAATAAGACCGCGATTGATCGTTCATGCTGATAACATAAGAAATAAAAAATGTTGTCACACAATTATATTTTATTATAGTGGATTATATTGACTATAAACGTAAACAATCGACAGCGACACTCTACGCGATTTCCAACACCATGGCTCCATGCATATAACAAATAAAACCCATCAAAATAATTCACAGACCCATTTTGGTTCTTTGCGCAGTTTTATACGCAAAAATAAGAACCAAAGTTAAAAATTATTATCTTTATTCTTATTTCTTATTCCTTATTTTCATGAGCATGAACGCAACCATTACTTTACACAGTTTTAACTTTTTATCTTATTTCTTATTCTTATTTCTTATTTTAGTGAGCATGAATGCGCCTTTATACAAACATAGCCCTAAAATCAAACATTTTTATATTTGAGTCCTCTAGAAATACGCCGACAACTGCATTTTGAAAAAAATATATGTACGAATTCAAGGCAACATAATATTATATACAATACATGGTCTTTTACCGTTAAGTGAAGACTTATAATTCATAATGCAGTTTGCATTTAGACGACTTATTTGTTTTATGATTATTTAGGTACCGAATTTAAATGTTTACAATTTTTACGTAAATTATTAATAAAGTGTGTATTTATTGTATCTAATAGGTACAATTAATAATATCAATTTGATAATTACAGGGACTGTTACAGTATGCAACTTATGACTTTATATGGATTCCGGCTGTTTATTGGGAAACCGGATTTCCTCTCGAAAAACACCCAACAAAACAACAAAGAATTTAAAGAATAGCGAGTTATTTAACAAAAACAAAATTACTCCTTTAAATAAACATGTCGGAGGAAGCAACCATCCAATTTATTACAATTTTATACTTTCGGGTTCCCCTGAAAGGGTTTTACGAAACGCGTCAAAAGTTACCTGTCATTAATTTTTCTCAATTCAGGTTCTTTTTTGTCTAGAACTACTGGGAGGCTAACTCATTTGATTAAAATAGTTAAGGGTAATTCCATCTCTTCGGGTGTTACATTTTTACAACCAAAGTCTAAATTAAACACTTTATATGGTCAAAATCAGTATTTTATTAGTCTTTAGGTATTACAAAATAAGTAACAAATAAACATAAATAGAATGAATTCAATGAAGTCAAAAAGTGTGCTTTTCGGGTGTTTCACGAGGCAGAACCTCTATGTCCTTACCATTGTTACATTTATTTGAAATTCAGCAAATTTCCTTAGGGAAACATTTCTAAAAATTACAGGCCTCCACAAGTATAATATTTACTAACCATCTAACACATAATCAATGTCACAAATAACGTTTTACTATTTTTTTTATAAAATTTTACTTTGTTTCGGGTGTTTCATGGTTCTGTTTCGGGTGTTACAAGTACAAAAATTAAACACTTTATATGGTCAAAATCGGTATTTTATTAGTCTTTAGGTACTACAAAATAAGTAACAAATAAACATAAATAGAATGAATTCACCTTAAACATAACATAAGCAGCTTCGGGTGCGATTGATAAATCGGCAAAAAGTAAAAAATCGTTATTATTGCCAAAAATCGTTAAAAAAAATCGGTAGAAACATAATTATTGACGAAAATCTAAGTATTCGGTAGGTTCGACACCATCGGAAAAGCAGTCAAACCTCTTTTAAAGAGGTGTGACTGCTTTTCCGATGGCGGCGCTAGTGGGCCTTCGAAAGAGCCTTACAAATAATACTTATTGCTTAGACACATGAAAATAGTTGTAACACCTGAAACGTTTCGGGTGTTACAGTTTTTAATCAAGAAAAACACATATCAAATTAGTGTCATGCTCAGATATAAGTTAGTATTTTAAATCATTACCACCATAACGTTACTTTTACTAAATATTAATATGTAATAATTATTACACTAATTAATCTGTAAGGTATAATAATAAAACAATTACATGATTTTTCCTTTCAGGTGTTACAGTAGCAAAGTAAAAAGAAAACATACTTATAACGTGATAATTATTAATTTTTTTGGGACTGTGACGCAATCCATCAATACTACGATAAATAATCTCAAATCACAACGTGGCAAAACGGTTGACAGATGACAGTTTTTTTTTCGTATTTCCAATAGTTTGAGCATGGAGCCTACACAAGGAGCCCGAACTTCATGTAAACAAGAATCTTCCTAAGATAAGAGGGCGCTGGTGTACTACCGGCCCAAAACAGTAGAGGGGTATAACCAGAGATGGCGCCACTACCACTTATTATTGTGGAAATAATTGAGGTTATGCAACTGTCAGCTTATCGCTTTCTGAAAACAATGTACCCATGTACCTGGTTTTGTGTATAAAGGTCTTAATTTACAATAAATTTATATCAAATTTAACATTGGAATTCATGTTGGACTTTCTGATGTAGAGCATAGTACAGTTTTTTATAAATACGTTTTTTTTATAAAAGAATGTCGTGTGATGTTAAATCGTGTAAAACTAACAGAATATTAAATCCATATGGTATTTATTTTTAGTTTTATAGGTAGATGGCTTAAATAAAAGTTCAATATTTATAAACAAATAAAGGTGGAAATTATTAAATATGCTGTTTACTCATTTTATGCATACTTTTTTATTTAAATTAAATTTAAATTATTATATAGCGGTGTATTTCTAACCTGGAAATCTAATTTTGCTTCTCCAGAGTTGTAAAATCACTTCACAGATTATAAAGAATCACTTTCACAACCAAAACCTATTCATTAGCATCTACCTACCAGGTACAGCCATAAATAACAAAACGATTCGTACGTCAAAACATTATTGCAAATCAAAACTTACTTGCTTACTTCACATGTTTTTTCGATACTATTTTCACGTCATACGGACGCATCGACAATCAGCGCCGCTGGTGGTGAAAAAAAAAGACTTAATTTGTGCAATTTAGTGGACAGGTTTTGTCAATTTTCCCTATTAAGTTCGGGCTCCTTGTGTAGGTTCCATGAGTTTGAGGCACAATGGTCATATGGAGTGCATATTTTGAAGACTAATTAACTTAAAAATTTCGCGTTTCTTCTGGTTTTTTTATCGCACATTATAATTTGGAATGTTTTCTTTCAAAATTCATCAGATTTAATGCGAAAAATTTAATTTTTTATTTGTCATGGAATGACCCTTAACAAACCCTTAACAAATTGTGACAGTTATCCCGAAAATTAAGAAGATTATATTCAGGAGCTTCAACTCCATATAAATTCGAGGAGTGGGGGGTCCACAAGAATGTCGCACGGGTACAATGACCGAGAACGCAAAATTGAGTTCTGCGCATCTCCCCTCCTATCATTTGCGGAGATAAAGAAGGTATCTTTACCACAGATTATATCTTTACAACCTCTATTATTTTGTGCATCTGTCAAGCGTCAAACCAATGTTTACCTTTACCAATTTCGTAAATAAGAAGATTATAATGTAATTATATTATAATATTTTAACAGTGAGTAAATTTATGAATTAATCAGTCGTAGCAGAAAACGTAAACTGCAGTTTACATGTAAACATGCATGTAATAATGTTAATTTGGTCATCAGTAATGTATTTTCACGTATAAAATGACTGAATTTTGCAATGTAAAATCAGACAAATTCAAGTTCTTTGGTGTAATTATTACACTGTAATGTTTTGTTATAAACTTACTTATGGAATTTCAAACACAGCACAAACATTTCATATGTAGTGTTTTTCTCAAATACTTTTAAAATTAAAATAAAGCTTGTCCAACCTTCTTTATTTCTGTTGGAAATCTTCCAACCAATGCGTGCACGTGCAGTCTGTCACGTGAGTTGACGGTCTATGCGCGGTTGATTAATAATTATTTGTGCGCATTGTACACGACGCGACACGTTTTCTATCCTTTCTCATTCGGAGTTGAAGCTCCTTATATTTAATGATGATTTTTTAAATGGCGTTTTAGGTGACTTGATATTGTAGTTCCAAAATTACAATGTTTGCATTGGTGTATTTTAGATGTTATGATATTTCTGTTGGATTCGTTTAACAAGTCCGAGTGATGGGTTAAAATATGGTTGTCTAAATGTTGTTTTTGATTACATTTATACTGGCAAAACAAACATTTCAATTCCTTTATTTTACTATGAATTTTCTTATGAACATTTAAACTACTTTTTTTAATAGTTCTATAGTGACAAATTTGACAATCGTACCACTTTACATTCTTTAATTTTAAACATAATTTTAGGTGATCATCATAATTTATTTTAAAAGCAGTTGAATATGTACATTTAGTGCACTGATGGGTCTTACCTGATATATTTATTTTATTGTCGTGAACTTTTAAATGAGATTTAAAACTACTTTTGGTTACAGTTTCATAATCACATTGGTCGCATTTAAATTTTTCAAGCTCATCTTTTCTATGAAAATACTTTTTATGATGAAGTAAACTCCTCTTTGTCTCATACTTCTTAGGGCAGAGGTCACATTTAAATGGCTTTTCTTTACCAACATTCACTCTAGGTCTTAAACACTGTTCACCATGACTTTCTAATAATTCTTTCTTTAAAAATTTAACTGAGCAGTGTTTGCACTTGTAGACACAATAAAAAACATCTTCAACAATAGCACTTCTGGATTCTGGATCTGTTTCAATTTCTGTAAAAAAGTGCATTTATTAAAACATCGTTTTTGAGGTCCAACATAAAAATTCCTTAAATTCAGTTAAACGACACCATGCCCCAGTCGTATTTTCCTCCTTTGTTTCCCGGCAGAGACAAGGGAGAAAAGTATATATTGGGAGGCGCAAAAAACGAATTTTTTTTCAAGTCTCCTATGAAAATATGTTTAAAAACTTTTTCCAAAAATTTGCTTGATTAATTTTTTTAGGGGTCGCTAACGAATTTTGAAAACTCCAAAGTAAGTGTGTACAAAAATTTACCGTAGCGAGCAAAAAAAAAAATAATTCATTAAAATTTTGACTATTTTTGGAATATACAAAAATCGCTAACAACCCCTAAAAAAAATTTAATTAAGCTAATTTTTGGAAAGAGCTCTTTAAACATAAAGCATTAAGATATTTTTATAGGAGAGTTGAAAAGTCTTTTTTAAATATTAAATATAAAATCCTTATAAAATTTGGTATAAAAATACTTCAACTTATATCTCAGTTAACGTGTTCGAGAAACTATCCTTAAAGCCCTAAGTCTTAAGTCTCTACCGAAAAATTGATTTTTTTGACTTATCCCCTTATGCCTTTAACCCACAGAAATTAAAAAAACACTTACCTTTTCCGGCTTTTGGGAGGACCATTTTTGCCATAATTTCCTTATTTACTTTACTGCCGGTCCTACAAGAATATTTAATTTACATTTTTACACAGAAATCAATTTTCCGTAAAATTCTATATGAAATTGGTTTATGTCCAAAAGTTAAATATTTTTATGTCTGTTGATAATAATGAGTTCTTCCACAAAAACCAGTTACATCTATGAAATACGTGAATAGTTTTTACCAATAAAAAATATTTATTTTGCAAGTTACTTTATGAACCTATTAACAAATATTTCAAAATCGGCAATTAGTGCCTAAATTGTCAGTCCAAGTGAACATCCAAAAATATCACAATGGGTCCTAATATTTTTTAAAGTGTAAATTTTATTTAGTAACTCATACTAAATACTAAAAAAGCAGTTTATTTTATCTAAGAAAATTTTGGTTTTGAGTCATAAAACATTGTAACAATGTAAATAAGAATGTATATCTCACCCTGATTTATCTAAAAATTCAACCCCATGATATTTCACCTCCAGTTTCGTCTCAAACATGGCTTCATCCTCCTCTTTTTCTTCATTGTGTGAGGATTTTGTGTAATCGTTTTCAGGAAAGTCACTGTCCCTTCCTTCTTCCTTAATATTGCAAGAGAAATGTTTAATTTCATCTTTATTATCAGAATGATCACTTTCGTTGATTTTAGATCTAAAATAATGGATATAGTAAATATTTTTCTGAAAAAGTTGGGATGTATCTGCCAAAAAAAGCATAGGATTGCTTTATATAATAGTTTTAAATAAACATCTTAACAGTTATTGAATTTTTGTATTGCATATTATTATATTAATCAGTTTGGTTTCTAATTATAAACTTTAACAAGATGTTTAACAAATGTTTAATTTCATCTTTATTATCAGAATGATCACTTTCGTTGATTTTAGATCTAAAATAATGGATATGGTAAATATTTTTCTGAAAAAGTTGGGATGTATCTGCCAAAAAAAGCATAGGATTGCTTTATATAATAGTTTTAAATAAACATCTTAGCAGTTATTGCATTTTTGTATTGCATATTATTATATTAATCAGTTTGGTTTCTAATTATAAACTTTAACAAGATCATAAGTTCCATTATTTATTCGGCAAATTAATCACTCTGGATTTACAAACAGAGTTTCTACTGCAGCAGTGGCGGCTCGTGGCAGTAAAATTTGTGAGTTCTGCCAGTGGGGTTTAAAAAAATTACCCATAAAACCCAGGTTCATAACATTGTTTAAGTGGTTTTTAGATTTTTCATGACGTTTAATTTTTTCGCTTAGGTGCACTTAGTCGGTTACACCAATTATGGTCCAAGTTTTTTCTCCACCAAACAAAAGGCACGGAAAAAACAAAAAAGGGAATTATTTTTATTGCATCCGCATATCCAGTCGTTTCTGGCATAAATGTCTCTTGTAAAAATCCTTTTATACGATTTTCCCCGGCTTGAACCACACTTTTCTATTGAAATATCGGGCAACGGCCGTCCATCTTCTTTTAGGTTTAAATTTTCCTTATCCGTATAAATGGAGAATTTTTTAACATTAATTAAATCATAAACCACATTCATTCTTACAAAAGAATACAACAACAAACACAGAAATACACAGAATTAACAGACGTGAACGCGAAAAACAAACGACCGGGAAGTAGGAACTGTATGTTGGTGCAGCTCCGGTTTGGCTTAAATTTCGCTATCTTAACCCAGGACCAAGAGCGGCGCGGAGCAAAATTACGGTATTGAAATGGGAGCCAGAACTCGAAAGTGGCCCAGCTTTGTTGTATTGTAAGCGTTAAGCGTTAGAGACCTTTACCGATCGTTTGGATGACTGTAGTGGCCAACTACGGCGACATGTCGCGAAACGGCGAATGTTTATAATAACAACTTTTTATGCGTTTGAATTATTTATACACTGTCGCACTTAAATATTAAATAATTAAAAAATTAGTCAAGTAATAAGACAATTTTGGGAGTTCTGCAGCTCTGCAGCCCTTATGCACTAGCCGCCCCTGTACTGCAGTACTCACAGATTATAAAGGTACTGACTGGGATTCCACGACAATGAAGCAGCTGTCAACATGCCGTTTGGTTTCCTCTACCAATCACAAACATGATACCTATCTTTACGCCGCCCATTCGTTTTCAGCGTTAATTTAAAACGTGGCAAATTTAAATTTAGTCAGACTAATGACGCCTTAACAATTCGCTTTGATTTGAAATAAAAAAAATAAAAAGATTTGTGTTTATTATCATACAGTTCATTTTTTTTTATCTGGGCTCGTATTTTTTTGTTAGGTTGGTGACATGCCAGTTTGACTTAGTATTTTTAGTATTTAAAAATGGTACTTCTGCTAAAGAATTTAATTACACTGTCAAATTGACAATAATATTTATTATTGATAATTTACTTGTCAATAATAAATAAAAAGATAATTATGCCAAAAATATTACCTACCAACGAATTCGAATGTAAAAGCCCTTTTGAGGGCAAAACTTCATTTTAATGAAATTATGCCAAATGCCACAATGGAAGAAAAAGTACATTGCCTTATGGACATTTTTGGAGTAAAAAAGTAACGAATTTGGTTTTATAAATATTACAACACACATTATTTTCACATTATTTACCATTGGACAACATTTACGTTCACAAAAAATTTTAATTTCTTTTAGATAAATTCTTTTCAAAGCGAAGATTATTATCCGCTAGGAATACTTTCTCTTCTGGGCCGTAAAGCAACCTATTTTTAACTACTTTTTTTTATATGATTTTACTTATCCAAGCACCACCAAAGCCAAATTAATTGCATTTTTAACTACGAATTTCGACAACTCAACTTGACAACTGCACAATGTAACTCACAATAATTTATACATAACCACAATTAGATTTATAACTAGCTTAGTTTGTTTTAATCAATGCGACCAACGTGACAACTGTATTTACCAACCAAAACCCGCAGTCCAGATAAAAAAAATGAACTTTACTATCGTAAATAAAATGTTAAATAGTTTAAGATAAGCCTTTATTATGTAAAAATAAAATCAAGCACCTTTTTTAAATTTTTTATGATTGAAAACCAAACATATAGGTATTTAATGAAGTGTGTAAATATAAACAAAATATTGTACTACGGCATAAAAATACTATCAAATCAAAATATTACATTAAAATTATGAAAAAGTGCTGGGGACCTGTTATGGTGGATTATCAAATATTGAAAATATGAAGAAAAAAAAGATAAATACAAAAAGTATAAAATATTACAGAATTTTTTTTTATTGAAGAACAAAAAAAGAATACATTGTTAAAAACCTTGGGTCTTAATTTTGTTTTATTTAATTAAATCTATTTACTTACTTAAGATGCCGACAAGCAAAAAAAATGTCAATTTGCAATGTACAATGTATTTAGGCTTTATTTTAGGTTTATTAAGAATTTATAAAAATAATGTGAAATTATAGGTTTCATTGAATACCTATGTAAAATGTTTATTTTGTGTTAATATTTTAATATTGCAATGTTGATTTATTACATAAAAAATCAAAATTTTGGGATAGAAAGAAGCAATCTAGTAATTCAAGGGTAAAACTGTCACTTGTTTCATGTTTCAACATGTCAACTGTTGTTAAGTGATTATGCAATAAAAGACAACAATGCTTACCCTTTGTTGAGCAATGCTTCTTTCTCTGTGAACGTTTCTTCTTTCAGCCACAATTCTTCTTTAATTTCTTGTTTTATTGCTATCCAAGAGAATGAAGGCATTTCTGGGTCAGCAGAGGTACTTGGTTTCATCAAAATATCACCTTCAAAATCATTGTAGTCCATGTTGTCATTAGCAGACAATTCTTCTTTAAATTCTTGTTTTATTGCTATCCACGAGGTTGAAGGCATTTCTTGATCAGCAGAGGTACTTCGTTCATCATAATTAATCAAAATATCACCTTTGAAATTGTCGACAACTTCTTTAGGTTCTTTTTTAACGACTATTTGCTCCATTTTATATTTACTAATTATATTTAATGATCACAGAATAGTCATATACCTACCTAACTCTAAAATAGTTTGGCAAGCTGTAAAATACAATACAAAACCTGTATAAACTCTTAAACAACAAATTAAACGTAAATTTACCTTGACGAAAAATAAGGAACTCAGTCTGAGACCATAGCCTAAGACCAGAGACAAAGTTTTGCCTAGAGCATAGGAAAAAAAAGAATTCAAAACAATTTTGATACACTGATCTAGAGGCCTATAGGCCCTAGCATAGAAAACCATAGATTATAAAAGAAAACACTGAACATCAGAGACAAGGTCTCTGCTGAACATAGAAAACATAGAAAAAGGATAAAAGGGAGTTTTAGATTAAGATTTTATTGGTTATGTTGACAAGCACTGTTGCCAGGTTGGGCGATTTATTGCCAAATGGGGTAGTTAAATTTTTTCTGACCTATACTTTTTATGGTTTTATTCAAGGCGTTTTGTAATTTTAAACATCTTTGTGAAATCGGAATTTTAATTAAGTTTACCGTTTTCGAGATATTTACAAAAAAAAGTCTCCTAATTACGTCACTAGGCTATTGACAACGTTGCCAGCTTTTTCTATGGTGTTTAGTTTAAGATTCTTACGATAGATGGCGCCACGTTATTATATTTTAGTTTTAAAACTACTTGATCTAAAATTTTAGTTGAGAAGAAGAAGAAGAATTGATTTTTTGACGTTTCTTTTTTAATTTAGATTATTGAAAATCAATGTTATTGTTATGTTATTTGTAATTGATATTAGATAAGTGATTTATTATTTTCTGTGAAATCAGAATTTCAAATGAGTTTACTAAACTCATTTGAAATTCTGATTTCACAGAAATGTTTAATATTACAAAACGCCTTGAATAAAACCATAAAAAGTATAGGTCAGAAAAAATTTAACTACCCCATTGGCGATTCTAAATGGGGTAGTTAAATTTTTTCTGACCTATACTTTTTATGGTTTTATTCAAGGCGTTTTGTAATTTTAAACATTTCTGTGAAATCGGAATTTCAATTGAGTTTACCGTTTTCGAGATATTTACATATGCAAGGAATGCGGTCGATGTTGCCAATGGTAAAAAAATATAATTCCCTATTGGGAACATTCAATTATATTACGTTGGCTACACTGAAATTTTGAATTTCCCGCACAAACTGACATACATTCTAGTAGTTTCCAGAGATAAAGAAGGTAGTTCCAATGTTGTATAATAAATGAAGGTGCGAATTTCAAATGTGGGAATTATTATTATTTATTATTATTAAAAAAAAAGATGAAAATTAATTTAGTTTGTGCGGGAAATTCAAATTTTCAATGTAGCCAACGTAATATAATTGAATAATCCCAATAGGGAATTTTATTTTTTTACCATTGGCAACATCGACCGCATTTCTTGCATATGGTCAATTACGTCACTAGGCTATTGACAACGTTGCCAGCTTTTTCTATGGTTGCCAGTGTGTTTAGTTTAAGAATCTTACGATAGATGGCGCCACGTTATAATATTTTAGTTTTAAAACCACTTGATCCAAATTTTAGTTGAGAAGAAGAAGAATTGATTTTTTGGCGTTTCTTTTTTTCGGGTTGTTTTTTTTAAATTTAGATTATTGAAAATAAATGTTATTGTTATGTTATTTGTAATTGATATTAGATAAGTGATTTATTAATAACGGACTCCAAAGCAGAGGAATCTTGTGGAATGGTTGGTTACATTGAACATTAGAGCTTTTAAACAAATAAAGTAAGTACCTATAATTATAATCATATTTTGTCGTAAATGCATTTCATTAGTATAATGCCTAGTTCTTTATATTCTTTTTGATATATCTTGGACTCTAAAATATCAAACAGTAATATGATACCTCGTAATAAGGAAGATAGGTACTTAATGAATTTGGTGACCATCTTTCACTCAACTGACAGTGACAGTATTTGTACATAACCTCTTCGGGTATTTTCTGACATAACCGAATGAAATCATTAACAAGACAACTTGACAACAGGGTAATTTTCAACCAATAGAAATCTTAGAATGTTGGTCACATGGCGAGGTTTGTGACGTCATAAAAATTTATATTTTTTTTAAATATCTCGAAAACGGTAAACTCAATTGAAATTCTGATTTCACGGAAATGTTTAATATTACAAAACGCCTTGAATAAAACCATAAAAAGTATAGGTCAGAAAAAATTTAACTACCCCATTCATTATACATATTTTCCTATCAGTGTGACACCCTGCATAATGGAGGTAAAAGTGACACCCACTTTATACACGTAGATAAATGCTTAACAAACTGGCACCTATATAAATTTCGTCAAAGTGGCTCCAATTTTTATACGTCTAAGTATATAATTAATATACAAAGTGACACCATCCGGTGTTGTCAAGTTTATCAATGTGGTTGGGTGCCACTTTGTTGCCCATTTAATAATTTAGATTTAAAAATTAATATTAAATATTAAAATTTAAATATTTAATTAAGTCAAAGTTATTTTATAAATAATATTTTATATTATGTTCTAAGACTGATTTTGAACTTTTTAAGTACTTTAAGACTTAAAGTTTGAGTGTCTTTTATGTTTATTTGATTTAAAAAATGTAAATCTTTATTTTTTGGAATCATAATAATTATGAATTAGCAAAATATTTAATAGGCTACTTAGAGTTTTTTTAATTATTTGGCTATTTAAATGCCCAGTCAAATTAAGAATCAATTTGAAAATGAATCAACTCCCAATATCTCGAGAACCGCTTGTGCTAGTCCGATCGATGCCAACGTGAGCAAAATATTGTTGTCTTATTTCAGGTTATGTTATTATTTTTTAACTTTGAACTGCAATAAAAGCTTGTTTAAAAATATTGCTAAAATTTATTTTATTTTATACTTTTTAGCATTAGAATTTGTTAAATATTAAATTTACAAATTTTAAGGTTATGTTGTCAAAAATGGGGTTGGACAGCAACTGTCATTTAATTTTCCTTCGTAATCCTTTATCTGTCACCTGTCAACTTGACACCTGTCAAGTGTTCCTTAATATTTTGTTAAGCCCCCCTATATATTGTGTGCCATAGCTATGGCAACAACCTAGGTTGTTAAACTTTTGTTAATTTTAATTTATCCAAAAAATACTATAGTATTTATTTACTACCAATAAATTCCAATATGGAGAATAGGTGAAAACTCTAGCATTTGATTTTTACAACAAAAACTGAGCGCTTTGCTCTATAAAGCATAATAACAATAAATAATCTTTAGCAGATTCGCTATTATTATTTAGTATAGGTTTTTTAATGAGTATAAAAAACCGCCGTTTTTCCGGCCGGTCGATTTGTGGGAGACAAAATTTGCAATTTTCCACATTATTTTCATGGTCCTTGCCTATCTTCACCAAGCTATACTCTAAGATTTGGAAAAAATGAGGTTCGTTTGAAGTAAACAATCAGGTCCAATTTTTTTTAGCTATGCCAAATTTAAACTAAAAACTACAACCATAAAATTCTACATTTAATTCTGAAACGCTAAAATATAGTAGATTTTGCTTCCCGACAAACAATTGTCCGACGGCCACTAGGCGGCAAAAGATATTCGCATTTTTACATCGGGACGACGTTGGACCGGCATCGGCAATTTCCGACGTCAGTCTAACTTTCGTAAACGATAATCAATTTCCGTCATCAATCCAGTCGGAACGACGTCGGCTAAACGAGCTGTAAAAGTCTGTAAACGATAATCGATTTTTGACCTCGGCCCGACCGGTCGGACAGAATCAATTTTTGATGTCAATTAAACGTTGGACCGACGTCGGCAAAACGATCGGTAAACCGTCCCTAAACTATAATCGATTTCAGACCTCGTTACAACGTCGGCAAACGATAATCAATTTCCGGCGTCAATCCAACGTTAGACCGACGTGTCGTCGCGACCTCGTCAAATGATAGTCGATTTCCAAAGTCGGTCCTCATAAGTAATACATCAACCTTCTTTATCTCTTCAATACATCTCACCGCTACTGAAGCACGCTATCTATGTAGATAACTATAAATATCGATGGGTTGCAATTGCAGTATTAATACTTAGTTAGAGGTGTGATGGCACACCTGAATATTGATGGTTAGTGAAAGAAATGGCCAAACTTATGAAATTTAAAAATATCCAAGGCAAAACAGGAAGTGACTGTCAATGTCCTCTAACAGTCATTTTGACAAATTATTGTTTTGTATAAAACTGCTATTTTTTTATTGTTTTTGAATGTATATAATCTGTGATATGTAAATAATAAAATAAATGTTTTTGAATTTGAATTTAAAAGTATAGAACCAAGCCGACGTCAGCCCGCCGGTGGCATACGACGTCGGCCCGCCGTTAATAGGAGACAGCGGTCGTCAAGCGGTCAAAGGACTATAGCCCGCTTTCTGGCCAAAAACATCTGCAGACGTTCTGGATAGGTTCAATCCTAAGGATGCCTATGTCCTCATAATGGCACGATATTTTAACAAAATCTCAACGTATAGAATCAGAGTGTTTTAAAATATCGTGCCATTCATAGGAAATCCTTAGGATTGAACCTATCCAGAACGTCTGTAGTTTTTTTTGGGCCGACAGCGTCGGCCGCCTGATGGCCGCTGTCTCCTATTGACGCCGGGCCAACGCCGTTTGCCACCGGCGGGCCAAAGCCTGCAAGATAGTTTGTCGACCATCGGCAGCCGTGCGCCCAACGGACATTTGTTTGTTGAGATATTTAAGGAACATAAAAAAAAGATTTTCCTTAAATATAAAAGACTTCTATTAAATACTAATTAATAGGTGTCAAGAAATAAGTTGGGGAGATGACAGTTTACGCCAAAGTAAGCAAGTTTGCATTAGTGCTACCTACTGTTTTTGAATGAAAAAAAAAACAATTACAAATATTAACGTAACTCCTATGCTTTTGATGCAAAGCCACTGGTTTCGTTGCGTCAGCAAAAGGTGTAGACGAACGAAGTTTAGTATGTCCGTTAAAATCATTGACAGCATTACCAATAAGAACCACAGTTAAACAACTGGCCGACTCTACTTAGTCCATCAACCCCAACCACTTATACGTTCGGTCATGTTGTGAACGAATATCAAAAGAGTTATCTAAGAGGTTTATTTTCAGAGGAAACACTTGCTTACTTTGACGTGAACTATCATCTTCCCATCCAACCCTGTATAGGTCTGGCAACCAAGTCCTGGCCGGAATAAAAGAACATTAATTAATTTTAATTATTTAGTTAATTTAGTTTTTAGGAGCTTTAAAATGACGTACCTATCGCATGTTCAGTTCGAAGCAGCTGGCTGGGAAAAAACTTTGACTGGTTATAATTTTTGACAGATAACAGATAGAAAATTACTTTTAAGTATTCTAAATGCAGTTTTTCAAGGGCTTTAAACTGACCTATAGCATGTGTAGTTATGTGGGATATATCTTTTGTCATTTTTTAACAGTCACAATCCTCCACAATAGCTGCTGGTTCAGCAGCTATTGTATACAATAGCTGCTGAACCAGCAGCTATTGTGGAGGATTCCTCTATAGAGGATTAACTTCAAAGGCATTGTTTTTGAAAAAGGCGGAAAAAAGTAAAACTAAATATTAAAATATTTAAAAGACAAATGTCAAAAATTAACTATAGGTATACCTAATGTGTAAAAATTACCTATTTCTTTACTATTTATAATAAGTACATCCGGTATATAA